GCGCGTAATTAACGCTAACACGTTATTCTACCCTTATTTCGCTTATTATATATACAAGGATTGAATGATGCGTCAGCGAGTCAGCGCGCTTTTCGAATGCATCTTTGGTTGGTACTACATACGCCTCTTATAATCCCAACGGCCCTGAGGCTTGGAGCCGCGACCGTCCGCGTTCCGGGGCTCGCCGCGCGATAAAGGGAGATAAGTAGGCGTAGTTCCCGAGAATCGACCGAAATTGGCAAACTGTTCCGAGCCCTGAATTAAAAAATTCAAGCTTTTCTTTCGGCCAAGCCAACTATATCCTGTTGCAATACTAGTAGTTATTGTGCGTGTTAAAATATTTATTGTAATGAACTTTAAATCGTTGCCACCCACTATGCTCAATGTTTTTATCTGAGAGAAAATATGATAATTAAATAAAATACATAATAAGTAAAAATGTGATTGAATATAAGTTTGCATTAGTTACAACTAATATTAAATAAAATGAATTTTTATCACATAAATTAAATAGATTAAATTTAATAGATATATTGGTACATGTAATGTTGTATATGTATATGTATAGAATCATACCTAAAAAATGATTGTTTACTATTGAATTTTTATAACATTCGTCTGTCTTCAAACGGCGTTTCTGTAACATTTCAAATTTTTTGATAGGCAATTCATCTAGCATATCATGTATAATAGAATCCTCTTTCTATGATACATTTAAAGTTTCAAGTCTAGTTAATATATTTTTCAAAATATTCTCACAACGTTTTAGTGCAATTTAATATCTATCGTAAATTGTCGAAATTTTTATTCAGGTTTTCAACGAATAAGGTGGTCCAATTATACAGGATGTCTCAGGGTAGCGATCATGAATCTTTTCCCCTAGTGTGAACTCGTGAAAAGTGAAAATTTTGTAATGACTCGTGAAAGATGAAAACTTTCACTAAACTCGTGAAAAATGAAAGATTTAACGTAAATTTGTGAAAATTGAAATTTTTCATGCAAAAATGTTGTTCATGGCAGCTGCATTCTTGGTTTTTGTTAACGAAATAAATGATCAAGACGAGAGAAATAATCTCAGAATAATGCGAAGGATGTTACGTGACACACAAAATCCATCCAAGAAGAAATATTTCAAAGTTTGTATAGGTAATATTAATTATGTCTCATTGTATATACATTGTCTATAAGAATTTTTTTATTAATATTTTTAGATTATATATGAGTGTGTGTGTATATTTACACAAATTTTTATAAATTTTGATATATACAGGGTGTCCGGTAACTGATCGAGCAACCGCCGTGTACAGGTCGTACACGTAACAAACAATACGTATACTCCGCCTCGAAATCAGTTGTTTACTCAGATCGTTGCTAAGAGGTAAGCCATTTCTTTTACACACAGAGCCTGTCCTATCGCTTCTCGTGAGCTCATTCGTTTATACATTTTAATTAATTACGGAATAAATATTGAGAAAATTTCAAAATGGTACATAACTTTTATAATTATTTTGACCCGTTCTACCTGTATGTACACGGCGGTTGCTTGATCAGTTACCGGATACCTTGTATATATATATATATATATATATATATATATATATATATATATATATATATATATAT